TCTGCTCAATATATACAAAAAGGAAGCATATTTAAATCTTACCTTCTCTTTTGAAACACTCACTACAGGATAAACCAACTGCCATACAATGATGACACACAAAAAGCCCTAGAGAAATATCCATTGGGTGAGTAACTGAGACCACCTGCAAAGAGCCATTATCAGTGAACCATCTTGGATTTTTTTTTTAATTTTCTACTAGTTTATTTACAAAATTCGAATACACTTGGATTTTTAACTTCAGCTTCATTTAAGCCTTCAGATGACAGAGTCTAACATCCTCATTGCAGCCTCCATTAGACCATGAGCCAAAACTACCATGTCTTTTCCACCATGCTATCTCTCAGAAACTTTGTAAGATAATACGGCTTTTTAAAGACTGTATCCTTTTGGAGAAATGTGCCATATAACAATTACTAAAGACAAAGTAGGACATCTTTCATAGTACCTTAGAATTGACATTTTATGCAAGCAGCTACAGCAAAATCTTGGAATTAAAATTAGAATAACAATATATAAGATGGACAGAATGAGAATCATTTTATATTTCTCCTATAATTGTACCCACTAAAGTGTTCTGTACATAGTAAGCACCTTGTTTGGCAGTGAACTTATAAGATCTCTCTGATGACCTAATTAATAAAGTAGCCTTGGTGTTTAAGGGGGCTCCGGTGGCTTAGTGTTAAGGAGTTTTGCTGTCAACCTAAACGTAGACAGTTTGAATTCACCTTCCCTGGAGAAAGATGAGCAATCTCCTTCTGTACAAATTGACTGCCTCTGAAAATCCACTAAAGGGTCAGTTATGCATCAGTTCTGACTTGATGATAAACAACAATGACATCTCCTAAAAGTAAAGTAGACCCTAGAGTCTCTCCAAATAATTCTGAAACCTGTAATTTTACTATATTGTTGCATTCTTTTTAGTAGAGCCCTTTCGTAACAGAGCATTACAATGCGGTTTCAATCAAAACTGAACCTGGGAAAAGCTGTTTTTCTCTTGAATTTAATCAAAATTATACAGTAGCTAAAAGAGGGAGCTGAGAGACAATGAAGGGTTGCTGCAGAGTAACTAGTATAATAAATTCTGTAATGAAGTATATGTACATTACTTCAAATAAAATAACTTTACTGCCTCAATCATAAAGAGCCTTAATATATTTGAATAATAAGCTCAAGATGCGGTCTTCGAGTAACAATTTGTGTTAAGTTTAACCTCTATATGAGAAAAGGAACTTCCCAATTTTATTACTAGGGAACAATAACTCCTTCAGTTTCAAAGCAACCTTATTTATATCTTCAAGTTCCAAACCAAAGGGCTATGAGTTCTTGTTGTTGTTGCTTTGTACCAGTGTCGGAAGGGACCCATAGCTGACTCTCTGGCAAGTTTTCAGAGGCAGATAATTACACAAGGGGAGATTACCCATCCTTCTCCCATAAAGCAGCTGGCAGCCTCAAACCACATGCCTCCAGGATTGCAGTGTAGCTGCTTGCCACTAGGCCACCAGAGCTCTCTAGGAGTTCTTAACATACACATAAAGTAAAAAGTTTTGATGACCATAAATTTACTGTAAGCCAATGGCCACTTCCTCAAAATACACATTTTACTCAACATCTGGATGTATCCACTGTTAAAAGTGACTTTAGCTTTTACAAACATAAGACTTGCAGTTACAGGAAAAAAAGAAATGTCATTTTAAAGTATTGTTGCTGATAAGGTCAATCCCACACATAGTGACACCATGTGTGAGAGATCTGATCCATAAGGTTTTCAAGAACTTCCAGAAGCCAATCATGAGACTGGTCTTCCACAATGTCTATGAGTAGATGACTGTTTACCCCAACTGTGCCACTCAGGAACTCTTTGCCTTATAAGAGAGACAAATAACTACAAAAATGGAAACTCTTTTTACCAACTTATTTATATGTATAAAAAAAGGTGTTATGTTGGTCTGGATCCTAAAAAGTTGTGCTGCTATCCTAAAGGCCAGCTTTGCATCAAATTCACCAAGCACTCCACAGAAAAAAGATGGTCAGTCTCTTTTGATTAAGATTTATAACCTAAACATCCAATGGTGGGAGTGTCACTAGGTCTCAGAATCAACTTAAAAGCAGTATGTATACATTAAAAAAAAAAAAAACAAACCCACAACTGAACATATTCTGATGATAACCTGAAGATAATCTGCATAATGTGATTCAACAGCTAGAACAAATTAGTAAATTAAATACATCTATTTAAGATAGTTTTAAATAACTTTCTCTTGGGGAAAAGTAATTTTTCCCCCACCAAATGTCATTTAACACTCACTTTTCATATATAACACTTCTAATCATATGCCTATAAATGACAAATAAAAGCCACCAAAACACAGAAAGTCTTCTCTTACTATCATAATCTCTGAATAATTCTTTTTGGAAAAGAATTAAAATATTTCAGCAAGTCCTACTGCATTTCTATGACATATGGGCTAATTTCAAGGTGATTAAAATCTGAATAGGCTCTCTAATAGAGTCTCTTTGGTATGTGCTACTGAGTGGCATGTAACCAACTCATAGCTGAACCTTCAGGGGATTTTCAGAGGCTGTTTCTCCTACGAGGGAAAGAGACTGCCCATCTCTCTCCAAAGAAGCAGCTGATAGATTTGAACTGTGCCTTTGGGATAACAGCACAACTCAACACTACTAAGAATCAGAATTCCTTAATAGAACTTAAAGTTCTGCCTACGTTAGCATCAAAGAAAACTAAGTGCCATTGAGTTGATTTTAACTCACAGGGGCCTCTATGACCAAGTAGACATGTCCCTCAAGGTTTTCAACACTAAATCTTTAGGGAAACAGATTACGACAGTTTTATCCCATAAAGTGGCTGACCGGTTCTAACCAACATTTGATTAGCAGCTCTAATCACTGTGCCAGTAGGAGCACTCACATTGTGACAGCAATTCCTAAAAGCAAAGCCTTCCTATCATGACATTATAAAGTCTGCATAAAATTGATGTCATTTACAAGATAATCTGTAGGTATTAGAAATCTTTTCCAAAACCTTGAGGGGCATCTTTCAGAGACATCCAACAAGGAGGAACATCATTATTTATATTATCAAGACCATAAACCAGTTTCATTAGTAATGGTATAGTTTTCAAGACAAATGGTAAATCTATTATGCTGAAATAGTATGCTAAAAGGATTAGCACATTTTGCCATCTCAAAGTTTAAGCATTCTTTATTTATGCTTAAGTTTTAACCTTAAGTGGATTTATGATCCCAAAAACCTACTCTCTGAAGTATGATGTAAAAATTAATTATTCAAATGAATATCAAATGAAACCAAGCCCTCAACCTCTGAAACATTACCTGATCAATGATTCATTGTCTTCAAAAAAGATGTAATGGAAGCATATAAAACACAAAAAGGAAAAAACTACCCTAATATGCAATCTGTTGCTTAAGGTCTATTTTTACAACTCTTGTAAAGTGGAAACAGCAGAGGATTTGCATACTTTTGTTCAGATCCAGCGCCACCACTTCCAAACTACAGTTCTAATAAAGCATTTAACTTGCTTCTTCAGTTAAATATAACGACAATATTTCAATTTCCCCAGTTACGAGAAGTCAGATATTCAGGTGATTCTGAGATTTCAACCATGTAGTGCCATGAAAGAGAAAGTGAGTGTGAATATGTGAGTGTGTGCACATATTTAAAATACTAGCAACCTTCTAAATGCTAACTATGGAACCACCATCAACTTTCAAATATCTGGTACTACCAATGGAGGGAAAAATAAAATGATTGACTGCACACGCTTCATTGCACAGTTCACAGTAATTCTTCATTTTCTTCAAGTTCTTTTTATTCCTGTCTAGGCCTGTAGTTTCTAAACATTTCTAAAAATTGTACAGCCTTACTCTTTGCAATATTAAAGAGAAACTAAAATGTTCCTCTTACTACCATCAGAGTTCCTGCAGAACTTAAGTATACTTAAAACTTTTAAATACAAACTTGATTTTTACAGAGTATAGAAGATGGTCAATATAAGTGCTAATATACCTTAAATTTTGTGTAAGATAGAGATTTGGTTCTTTTAAAAGAGTGAAATTTTTTAAAAAATTACCTAAAAATACAGTTTTCTAAAGGGATCAAAACTAATGAGTGTTAACAACTGAAACATAAATTATTTCCTATCACTCTCCACATTAGTCCTTAATAAACTTCTCCAATACATGACTTTAAATATAGTCATCTAAAAACTTGACTCATTCTGAAGTATTACTACAAAGATTTTTAAAGTCACCTTAACATACGGTGCCTTGAAGACTAGTTTACTACAAGTCTTAGACTCAGAAAAGTTATTTAAAAAAACACCAAATCATTACTCTTTTCTAAGTGATTTGATCACAAAATAGGAAAGATTATTAAAAATCGCGCTGGGGATTCTATTAATGATTACAAATAGGGAATTAAGACAGCACTGAGTAAATTTAAATCAGTGTTGTTTTACGTAGAGAAAAGTGAGAGCTGGGGTCTCCTTCCTGGACAAGGAAGGAACGTTAAATCCAAGCGAGACCAGCCATGTTGAAAAACACTTGTCAATAATAGTTCTGACAAGTGTTCACGAACACGGCTGCATGAAGCTAACCTTGTGTACCGAGGTGAACAGCCATCAAGGCCTCTTTCTGCTCCACCAAATCTGGGCCTGCCTTGGGGATTCTTTCGGAGTTGGAGCTGTCCTTAGGTCCTTGAGGAGTGCCAAGCCGAGGGGAAAGAGGGCGGGGAAAGGAGAGTTAGGGGATGAAGGGAAATGGTTTGAGAGTTGGAAGCCGCTATCCACGGCGAGAGGGGCGCGGCGGCGAACCATTACCAACTAAGAGCCCGGAGGAGGGGCCAAGGATTCAGAGAGCAGGGGGCATCGCTGCAGAAAGTCTCCTTGCACCCCTGTGAGGGGTCCGAGAGTGCAAGAACAGGGGCGAGAAGAGAACGGGTAACGCTTCAGTGCACTGACCTGTCCTCCGAGTCCATGCGGCTCAGGGGCTCCCCATCCGACGACATCTCCAAGCTGCCTCGGCGGCCTCCGGAGGTCGCGCTGCTTCCGCCTCCCCCGGTCCCGTAGCCCTCGTCCCCGCCGCTCGAGACTACGCTGCTGCTGCTGCTGCCGCCCCCGCCGCCGCCCTGGCTGCCCCGAGGTCCCTTGGGCTCCTCCAGGCCCTCCTTGCCGTCCCCATCCCCGCTGCTGCTGCTGGCGGCGCCGGGGCTCAGCGAGCGCGTCTCATCGCTGCTGCTCCCGCCGCTGCTGCCCACCAGGCTCTCGGCGCTACTCTCTTCCTCGCCGCCACCGCTGCTGCTGCTCTCGTCCTCCTCCTCGTCCTCGTCCTCCTCCTCATCTTCCCCGGCCTGGCTGGCGCTCTCGGGGCTAGGCTCCGACATCGTCTCCGCCTCGCCGCCCCCCCCCCCCCCGCCGCCGCCCCCGCCAACGCCGCCGTTCAGCAACAGCGCCGCCACAGCCTCGGCCTCCGCCTCCTCTTCTTCCTCTTCCTCCTCTTCCTCAGGAGGCTCAGCCCGGCCCCGTGCCACCGGGCCGGGGCTGCCGGAGGGCAGAGGGCTCAGGCGGGAGAGCTCCTCCAGGTCGGCCATGTCGGTGATAGCGGCGGCCATGGCGGCGCCTACTCCAGCACCTCCTCCCCGCCGCCGCCGCCTCCTCTTTCGACTCTCGCTCCCTCGCCCCCTCCCAAACGACCAAAACTCCGCCGACGCCGCTGCAGAGCAGGAGGAGGGCCCGCGAGCTGCGTCAGCCTGCACACGCGCTACGGAACCCGCGCGGGGACAGGCGCGCGACTGCGCGCACTCACGCGGAGACAGCTGCGCGCCTGCGCGGCAGCACGCGGTGGCACCTCCCCTGGCCTCCGATCCCGCGTCCCCGTCCCCACCCCCGCCCCCGCCTGGACCTGGCCAACTGCTGGGAGTTTCCTCGGGACCTTCCCACGTTCTCCAGGGCAGCGCAGCGCTCGGGACGCTCCGAGCGCTGGCGGGAGACTTTTACCGACCCTCCGAGTTCTCACAATAAAGTCATGCATTCTGGAGCTGTTTGGAAATTGCTCACAGTGTATACGCTCTGAACAAGGATAGAGCAAGCCTTAGGAGAGTTTGGCTGAGCTGGTTAAAATAAGCAAAAATCACCCAATGCAAGGTACTAAATCAATGTCCGCAGCGTAAAGTCCCATATTTTAATCAAACTATTTGAATAATGTTAATGATAATTATAGAAACCCTCCTGGAGAAGTGGTGAACTACTGCGCTGCTAAAGCTAACGTCTGAGCTCTACAAGAGATTATATGGCAATTGACTCCCTAAATAAATAAATACAATCTTGGAAACCCCATGGGACATATCTTTTCCCCCTATGAGGCTGAATTGTGATGGTGAGTTCAGAGAATTTATCCTGTTCGGGATATTTCTCCCTTAGGTTCAGGGTCTTCAAACTTAAGGTTATGAACCCTGTAAAAAAATTGTATAAAGCTATGTACATTCTTAAACAGTTTTAAGGTGGCGTGTACCTGTTTTCCAGGGTATAATAAATATTTCATAGTTCACGTTTTTAAAAAGTAGTCAGTGGACTTCAAATACCATAGGGATTTAATATCCGGCAATTCACCTTTTAAAATTCAGTCTCTTTCACACGAGGATAATTTCAATCCTTCCTTGATCCTCTGGAACTTATTTTTGTATCCCACAACCACTCTAGAATTATATCTCTAATAATATCTCACATTTGGAGTAATTTAATCATTATCACACTTGCTAATAGCAAAACTGCATATATAAACTGAAGTATAAGGGTAAATTTCAAATTGCTTATGATGGTAAAACAACCCACTGCCAGGGAGGAGTCTATTCCAACTTCTTGAGATCCTCCAGCTAGTTTCTGAAACCGTTAATCTTAACAAGAATAGACTACCTCATCTTTCTTCCCTATTAAAGATAGAACCTTTGAAAAACTTCAGTTTAGAATGACCAGAGTAAATATATTTAATTTTTTTGTAAATAAATATGAAACAAAAGTAAACTTTTAGTGGAAGTACATCTTACGATAGGAATTTGAATGATTCTCTTTCAGTTATTTTATTAGTAGGTAAGTTTTGTTTGGTTGTTTTGAGGTTTTGTGGGTTTTTTTTTTACATTTTATGTTTAATATGAAGGCAGTGGTAAACAGCTTGGAAGGTTTGTCTACAGCTTTGAGTTCTTGTATAAATGGGTTCTTCAATGGCAGGGGGGGAAAAATGAACCCTTTTCTTACCAATCAAAAAGAGATGATAAATGAAAAAAGCAGTTAAATGTCACATGATTGGGGAGAAGGTCCAGCTCTGAAGCTCTCACTCAAAATTCACAGTTGTTGAATCCATTCCAGTTTACAGTTACCCTATTTCCCCATTGGATTGTCTCAGCAAGAGTAGATCACCTCTTCTTTCTCTCTGGAATTAGTTGATAGGTTTGAACCACAGATTTTCCCATTGGTAGCCTGACTCTTAACCTCTTATGCCACCAGGGCTCCTGTTAACCTCTAGAAGATAAAAGAACAGTAACAAAACAGATCTAATGTTCAATAATGGATTACCTAATATAAAAAGAAACAATAAGAAAGACAAAAAATAAGACCTAGATAAAAATTTAAAATGTTTGTAAATCAAAAGACTTGACCCAAAAAAAGCTAAAAGAGAAACTATTGTCTCAGAGAATGCTTTCAGAAACCAATAACTCAGACTTCCAGTCTTCATAGACTTCCAGCTAGAGATGACTCATAGCTGACCCTCCAGTGGATTCTCAGATGCTATAAAGCACATGCAAGAAGATTATCCTATTTCTCCTCTGGAGCAGCTGGTGGATTAAAACTGCCTGCCTTTAACCTGGCAGCACTCAGACCTCCCTCATAGATA